AATCCTACCAAAAAAAAAAAAAACACAAGAACACACAAATAAACCGTTTCGTCGCCTCTGATGCACTGTATTTTTTGGTTTGATTTTAGTGTTTTTTTTGAACTCAGGTCATGCCATTCCTCCTCCGTCGAACAAAAGATGAAGTTTTATCTGATCTTCCTGAGAAAATTATTCAGGACAGATATTGTGACCTAAGTGCTGTACAGCTTAAACTTTATGAACAGTTTTCTAGTTCAAACACGAAAAGAGAAATTTCAACTTTAGTGAAGGCACATGACACCATAAGTACAGCAGTAGAAGCTACATCATCAAAAGCAACTTCACATGTTTTCCAGGTATTTGGTCATACATGCTCATGCAAACCTACTGGTTTAGTGCTGCTTCTAACTAGTCATTTTTGAAATACAGGCACTACAATATTTGCTCAAACTTTGTAGTCATCCGTTGCTTGCAATTGGTGATAAGCCTCCAGAATCCCTTAATGATCTTATTTTAGAAGTTATCCCAGGATGCACTGTTTGCAATTGGTGATAAGCCTCCAGAATCCCTTAATGATCTTATTTTAGAAGTTATCCCAGGATGCACTGATCTTCTCACTGAGCTCCATGGACTAATCCCTTAATGATCTTATTTTAGAAGTTATCCCAGGATGCACTGATCTTCTCACTGAGCTCCATGGACTTCACCACTCTCCTAAATTGGTTGCTCTTCAGGAAATTCTAGAAGAGTGCGGAATCGGCTTAGATGCTTCAAGTTTTGACGGCCCCCTTTCAGTTGGACAGCATAGAGTTTTAATTTTTGCTCAACACAGGGTACATATTTGCTTTAATCAGTTAGTTTGTTGCTTGATACAAATACTACTTGTTCGGTTACTTTATAATTTTGTTGATCTTCTCCTGCAGTCTCTGCTTGATATAATTGAGAGGGACCTTTTCCAAGCTCACATGAAGAGGTTAGTTGTCACTTACAAATGCTTTTACCACATAATGATAGTGTTGGAATGTTGTTTGAATATATATATAGAAAAAGGTTCCGGGTTATAGTTACCCATGCATCAAGTGATTGTAAAATTAATAGTTTTATGGCAATACAACTAAAGAGACTTATTTTATGAGCAATGGAATGGGTCATCCATTGGAATAGTCTAATCCGTGTTTAAGAGGTGCATACTCGTCTCCTTCTACTGGTTCTGATTGTTGTCCCTTCCAATGCCATATTACCCCTAAACCCCACCCCACGCACTCCCACCCCCAAAACTTGAATTTCCCCCCCAAAGAAATACCAACATAAGGGATACCTAACCAAACACGAACTTAAGAACCAAATTTAAATATTATCCTCTCATTTAATTGCATTCCATTTTGGTAGCCCTCACCACCCCCCACACTTCTACCCTCCACTCCACTCCACTCCAAGTGAGCTTCAATTGACGAGGGAGATAAGGATGGAGGTGCTGTCACCATCAGTTGGGGGGAGGGCGGTGGTGTAGGTAGGAGTGGCTATGGTCGGGAGTGGTCGAGCTTGGGGAAAGGGATGGTGGTGGGGGTGACCGTGGTTGGAGGAGCGGAGGCGTGCAGCTCGAATGGCGAGGAGGCTGGAGGTAGGGCGGTGTGGAGCTTCGATGTTACGGAGAGGGGGGAGCTAAGGAAGCACCAGCGAACTGAATGGAGGGGGGGGGGGAGAAATTTCTTTTATTATTTTGAGAGAGAGAGTATGGTGGTCCCAACCCCTAGGGAGAGAGAGGGGGAGAGGAGGTCCCACTCCCTTTTGAGTTATTGCTCATATGAGATAATACATGTGATCTAGGGCTGAGATTCAGCTAACAAGGCGCATCCTTAGATTTCTATCTAAGGTGGCTCCTTAGAAACATATTTCCATAGAAACATATTTCTATTATATATATATGGGTATGCTTGGTAGCATGCACAAAATTGGTGCTTGTTAGTGATGTGACCTCTTCTCGTACCTCATTTAATGAGTGAATAATCAAGTGGGGATTATTTTAAATGGGCATTGTGTGGATGATAAGTATCCATGCTACTACCGATCACTAATTATGTGATTGGTATATATATAGATATAGATATAGAGAAAAGCATGGGGTACAACTAGCTTAGCTATACCGACCTTCAAAATTATGTTAGATGGAATCAGTTTGTTTGATCCACTCCGTTTATCTTGATCTATAGGTTTTGGATGGTATACAAAAAAAAGACACATTGAATTATAGTTACTCATGCATTAAGTAATTATAGAGTTTTACGACAATACAATTAAAGAGAGAATGAAAATTATGTGTAGGAAGTATTGTAACATCATGATTTTTTGTTTATAGATGTTTTGAGTCATTTACTTTATGGTGAATGGAGTATGGTGAATGGAGTGAATCGTCCATTGAAATAGTCTAATCCATGCATAAGGAGGTTCCTCTTGTTGTATTGTTAGGAAGCCGTTAATTTTTGTGGCCACTCAATGCATGTGTAATATATGCTCGAAACACATGATTTTTTATTTCTAGATATTTGAAGAGGTATAGATTAGGATGAACAGAGCCGATCGTCCAATTTCATTGCATAGTACTCATTCTTGCAAGTCTACATAACTAAGCTAGTTATGCCCTAGGAACAAATAAACCTTCCCATATACACCCACACCCACACACACACACAAACACGTATGTATAGGGAAAGGGTGCTGGCATGTCACACCAATCCCTTGGCTAGAGTGGCGCTGAGGTGGTGCATATCCAGCCCCCGTAGTTTAGATATAGAATTAAAATATGCCAAAAAAACCCTAAATAACTAATGCTTCTATTTTTGGAATAAAATAGAATATCTAAAACGTCTCCTGTAATCA